CTGGCTGCTTGCCAAAAATATCTGTGTGTGCACGCTTTTCAGTCTGCAGTTGGATTTAGTCAGCCGGCAAGCTTTCATTGTGTCGCCATTATGCACATAGGCTGTGTGAGGCATCCAGGGAAGAAAGACAAGAGGAAAGCAGGCAGGAACTCAAATATTGTGGAAAAGCAAGTGTTTGGTGTGCCCACCAGTTACAGTCGTGATTTCATCTGACTCACCGGGAGCGCAGACAATGTGGGTATTGTGGTAGCTGCTGTCCTCTCAGAGCCTGTGGGGCTGCCGGGCCTTTGTGTGTACCCTTGCTGTGGGTCCCAGAGCACGTTTACATAAAGACTTTGGCTTGGGATCACATAAAAAGGAGCACTGCTGGTTGTCTAGCAAAGAAGCAAGACACGGGGTGGCAAGCAGGGACCCTGCAGGTCTCCAGAACTTAGCACTTCCATGGTGTCTGCAAAAAGTCGACCATTCCCTAAGGCACTTTTGGGGGGAAATGACTGTAAAGGAAGGAACTTTCTGGAGCAAAATGACTGGGGTGGCTAAACTTCATTTTGACCTTGAGTTCAGACTCACTTGAGGTCGGTTGCCTTTTGAAAAGGCACGAGTTAGGCGTCCTTACCCTACCTCTCCTTGAGCGCCAGTTGCTTGGAGTCCGCCCATGTTTAGGCCAGTGTCAACTCCACTTCCTGCGGCATCCTCTCTTTCCTCTTGTTCACGGCAGATTCTTGGAAAATGAGCTCTTCTTTCTGGTGAACATAGGGTAATATCTTGCTTCTATTGTCATCATTAACCAAAAAGTAGACACAGAAAAAGCCTGCTCCTCTATGTCTCTCTTCATTGTTTTTATATTAAAATAGCACTGGAAAAATGACCCGGGTGGAAATTCTAATGTGTCATGAGGTTGCAATCTGGGAAGGCGTTAGGGACTGCCTCCCACATGGAATAAGATTTACAACCTGAGGACTATGGTGATAGTGCACAGGTGAATTGGTGGTGAGAATTTTATAGGGACTACACCTGAGAGGAGAAAGCAAATACCGTACAAAAATGAACAGTGATGTAAAATATATATAAATAAATAAATTATATAGAATTTAACAACCTGGATGGGGAGCTTAAGGACTATAGTGGACTTGAGCAATAATAAGTAGCTGTCATGGTATGAGTGGAGAAGCTAGTTTTGAGCAGTATCTCTTAAAGCACACAACAGGAAGATATACTCCTCAAATAAAATTCAGGCCATTTGAACTTAATTCTGTAGCGTATAACCCATGCTGGTATGTCCTCTCCCCGCCCCCCCCACCCCCATGTGGGAATAGATTCATGGAATATCCTATTGCAGCTTTTTAAGACTTTAAATGCAACTTGCTAGATAGGTAGATAATATTTAGCAATAATTTTATTTTAAAACTATCCATTCATATGGAAATAATGCTATTGCATCTCTGAAGAATTAGACGCAGTGCTAGCTGCTAGGTCTCAAGAGGGACATTGGTAAACTGGGATGGTTTCCAGACCCTTTGCACACATCCCAGTTTGTCAGTGACTGTGAACACTGACTAAAAGAACTAAGCATGCAGAGTTAGGTTCAGAAAGCAGGAAAAGAAGCTGTAAGCAGGAAAAGAAGCTGTATGCCTCTTCTATCAGATTTCTTTCCCCAGATTACAGCTGACTGACTTTGTGACTTTCTCCATTCTTTGCCCTACTTCTCCTTAATCCACCTTGTTCTAAAGTAGGATAATAAAGTAGGATAATCAAGGGAAGAGACTCCTATATCTCAAGGTGTCTTCCTTTTTTGTAGGGAAACACTGTTTCTCATTTAACAAAAGGGGAGAACTAGGAAGGGTTAGAAGAAGGACAAGGTGGCCAAGACAATCTTCTGCTTCTCGAGGCTTTTGGCACCCATTCTCCAGCACCTTTGCTGAGAGAAGCAAAGGTGATCTGATCTCCACACTGTCATTCTGATCTCCTCGGGCTGCTTCACCCAACCTGCCCCCTGAAGTGTTTCATTTCTCTGAAGACTTTGTAATTCCCCAAAGTCATTTATTTCTCTACTCTAAATATCAAAGACCAATTGCCAAAATATGCACGCTAATCAACACGTCAAACGTAGATAAAATGAACAAGCAGAGATACTAAGCAATATAATATTCTTATCCAAATGTGAGACTATGACCCAGTTCTCCTTGTGGTAGAGGAGGTTGTTGTTGAAGATTTTAGAATCCCATGGGGGGAAAGAAGAACTTGTGGAAACAGGACATAAATGAACCTATCAGAGACACTTTCAGGTCAGTAAGCAAGTGAAGGTTAAAACAGTGGGTAATAAATATTAGATAATAGAGATATCACCAGAACGTTATATTTCTTGGGAGGTGGGGGGAGTGGCAAGTATCCAAAATGTTTTTTCTTCATACCTCCCAGGACCTAGGAAACTGCCTATCATGTAATTGTGCTAAATATTTGTTTTTTGATTAGCTGAGTAAATTGCGGATTTAATTTCAATTTTAATGATTTGTTCTTGGAATGCTTACACATTCATTGCATTTTATTGTGATTATTGCATTCTATTTCCTTCATCTAAATAGTCGATGCTTCTTTTACTTTATATTTTGGTACCTCCAATTCCCATATTCCACCAGGACCCAAAAGATGTAAAATTCTTTGAATATTTGTGGCAGGAAGAGATTTAGATTACTTTTATTGACCTGCTCATTTCACTTAAGCCAAATGGTATCTTTACTCACACCTTTCACCCCCGCCTCCTTCAGGCAGGGTTAAATGGTCTTAGCTCAGTCTACAACAACCATGTGCCTAAGCATGTGCTAGTCCATTTTACACACTTCTCGTTTCTGTCTCTTCTTCATTTCCTTTGCTGCTGCCTCCTTTTCTAAATGTTGGCATCCCCTAACGCCAGTTCTAGTCCTGCCTCTACTTCCCTTCTCTTCTATGTCCCTATGGAAGCTCATCCTTCCCAGGGCCTTCAATACCAAATGCATGCTACTGAATCTCAAATACATCTCTAGCCTTCACCTACCACTTAAACTTCAAATCTGCATACTCAGTTCCCTACTGGACACTTACATCTGAATGTCTTACAGACAAAATAAATGTTTTAATGAATATAAAATGGAACTTCTGATTTCTGATTGTCCTTTTATCCCACCCACAGCCAGTTCTCTCTTCAGCCTGCACCATGCCCCTGCATGGCACTGTAGAGGGCCTGGGAAAGGCCTGTGGTCTGCATATGGAATACTGTACAATGACCCAACTGACTGCTCAAACCCTAGGCCCATCTCAGCTTCTGACCCACTTCCTAATCCTCTAACTCTAATCATGAGAAAGTGCAGGGGTTTTTGTCTCCAAATTGTCTTGAATCTGTCTACTTGTCTTCAGTTCTACTTCTGACTCCCGTGTCTAAGCTATCAGCATCGCTTGTCAAGACTGAGGCAACAAACTCTAACCTGCACCATTCTCCCCCTTGAATAACAAACCTCCACCCAGCAGCAGGACACCCAGGGGATCAATGTCCTCTCGTGGATGGTGGGTGTCGACCACATCATGTGAAGCACACAAGAAATTGTTGCTGTGATCTGCAAAGTTGCCCCCTTTGTAAATCGCCCCCTTTAGACCTACCTACCTTCATCTATGCCCAATCCTGTCTACCTCTGTAAGTTCCCATTGTGCCCCATACATGAGGTACTGGTCCAACAGTTCCAAAAACATGGTTTTCCTGTCCTCAAGCCTTGACATTGCTCTTTCCTGTGCCCACAGTGCTTTTCCCTTGGCTACCTTTTCTTTTTCTTTTCTTTTTTGTTCGTTTGTTTGTTTTTTACCATTTACAAACATATAGCAAACACTTTTGCACCTACTACCAAAAATTAATGTCAATCTTTTGCCATTTTCCCTCAGATTGTAACATTGAAATAATAGAACAATTTTTTGCTTATATCTCCTCAGATTGCATTCCACCTTACTCAGAACAAGTAATGGGTGTTGTTGGTTCCCTACTGTGCATCCACTTGTCCCTTCCTTCTTTCTGAATTTACATCGAGTATTAGGGCATCCTGTTCTCTCCCTAACACCTCCTGTGCTTCAGCCAAAGCTAACCTGGCCCGACTGTGACTGTGACCCAGGCCACAGGAGGGCAGGCTTCCTGGAGGTGGCTCTTCATGTCCCCGGGGTCACACAGGGGGCAGTCTCTCTCTATCCTGCCCCTGATGGTTTGCCTTTTGAGAACTGCATGGGATAGAGGAGCCTGGCTATCTGAATTTCTGATCCAATGCCAAGACAGGAACTAAACAATATTCTTGTTTGTTCAGTCTCCATCCTCTGTCATCTGCTGATCTTGCAGAGCTGCCTACTCAAAACTGAAAACAACCTCAGCATCAAAAATAGAAGGAAACGACGCACATGTTTCTACCTTTCCTTCCAAAACCGAAAGAAAAAGGCAGTTTCCTTCTACAGCTAAGCTTTTTGCTCAGTATACCACAACTTGTGTTTATACTCAGCGCGGTGAAAAACTCACCCAAGACTAAGTCTCCATTCAGTCATAAAATGTGTGCAATACGAATTCAGAGCTGCAACACTCCGTCTGCCCACCTGTGACTCTGCAGGTGCTTCTTTTCACCAACCCTCTCCCTCTGCAGGGCAGCAGCTTCCTGCCTACCTGTGACCTGTACATGCTAGGACCTATCTTCACTGACCTCCCTCAGCGGAGGCAGCTCTCCTCAAGCCTGCCCGCCTGCGACCATGTAGGCCTCTTTTAGCAAATCTGTCCCTTTCTGGGCAGCTCTTCCTGCCACTTGTGTCTATGAAAGTGTCTTTTACTCTTATCCCTTTCCCTAATAAACCTGCCCTTTAAATATATATAAAAATAATTATATAAATCATATAATTTTAATAATTATAATTATATAATAATTGTATAATTATTTAAAAATTATATAAAAATAACATATATATAAAGAATTCAGAGCTGACTTCTGTTTCTCCTCTGCTTGCAGGTTGCAGCACATTCACGTTCCTGACGTCTGTCACGGCTGCAGTCAGTGGCCTCCTGGTGGGTTATGAACTAGGGCTCATCTCTGGGGCTCTGCTTCAGATAAGAGCCTTACTTGCCCTGACGTGCCATGAGCAGGAGATGGTGGTGAGCTCCCTCCTCATCGGGGCCTTCCTCGCCTCTCTCCTGGGAGGGGTCTTAATCGACAGGTACGGAAGAAGAGCCTCCATCATCTTGTCCTCCTGCCTCCTTGGACTCGGAAGCCTGGTCTTGATACTCAGTTTGTCTTACACGGTTCTTATCGTGGGACGCATTGCTATCGGGGTTTCCATTTCACTGTCTTCCATTGCCACTTGTGTCTACATCGCGGAGATTGCTCCCCAACACAGAAGAGGCCTTCTTGTGTCCCTGAATGAGCTGATGATTGTCATTGGCATTCTTTGTGCCTACATTTCAAATTATGCATTTGCCAATGTTTCCCATGGCTGGAAGTACATGTTTGGCCTTGTTATTCCCTTGGGACTTTTGCAAGCAATTGCGATGTACTTTCTCCCTCCAAGTCCCCGGTTTCTGGTGATGAAAGGACAGGAGGAAACTGCTAGCAAGGTTCTCGGAAGATTGAGGAGCATCTCAGATACAACAGAAGAACTCACTGTGATAAAATCTTCTCTGAAAGATGAATATCAGTACAGTTTTGGGGATCTGTTTCGTTCAAAGGACAACATGAGGACCCGAATCATGATAGGCCTGACATTGGTATTTTTTGTACAAACCACTGGCCAGCCAAATATATTATTCTATGCATCAACTGTGTTGAAGTCTGTTGGCTTCCAAAGCAATGAGGCAGCTAGCCTTGCTTCCACGGGTGTTGGGGTGGTCAAGGTCATCAGCACTATCCCGGCCACCCTTCTTGTTGACCATGTTGGGAGCAAAACCTTCCTCTGTGTTGGCTCCTCTGTGATGGCAGCTTCGTTGGTGACCATGGGTATTGTGAATCTCAACATTGACATGAACTTCACCAATATTTGCAGAATCCATAGTCCTCTCAACCAGTCCTGGGATGAGTCTGTGTTTTATGCTTCAGGAAACCTGTCAGTCAGCAATGACACACTTAAAGGGTCCTTCAAGGAGATCACTTCTCATAGCAGAAGTGATCCCATGAGAAATGATATGGATAAAAGAGGGGCATCACCTTTGGCATCTTTACCAAGTGCTGGACTGAGCCAAACTGGACAACAGATAATCACTGATCCATCAGACATCCCAGCTTTTTTGAAATGGTTATCCTTAGCCAGCTTGCTTGTTTATGTTGCTGCTTTCTCAATTGGTCTAGGACCAAGTAAGTATTTTTATTCTTTTTTCCTTTCCTCTCTCCTCTTATGAATTTAATGTATTATCTTCATACACTAAGTTAATGCATTGCTGTGGAGTTTCCTGCTGTCATAGTATCTCATACTCATACGTGGAAATATTAAAAGCACCTGATTTTTCTACCATGTGGACAGCAGGCTTGGCATATATCTGCTTGAGAAAGAGATGGGTCCAGTCTCAGTAAAGGGTTAGTTTCTTGTTATCCATCAGATGAGGGTATTTTAGCACCAATTGGGGATACGTGAGACTTTAAAAGATATTTATTGCCCAAGAGAATATATTATTTTATGAAAGCAAAGTTTATTAAGATAACAATATCCTCCATATCATTCCTGAATTTCTTTACAGCTGGAAGGAAAAAAAATCAAGTGTTTAGATTTTCTTAAAGAAACATTAATGAATGCTTTCCAGCTATAATGATGAAAAGAACTATGAGTTGGGAAAGAGGATGCATTATTTCTTTAAGTTTATTTTATAACTAAAGTAACTCCTCAGGGTGAGTCAAGAAAATGGAAAATAAGGTACTCTCATTGAAGACTGCAAGGGATAGTTACAAGGGTGTTTTATTTGATCTACTCCAATTAAATAATTTAAATTCCTCTAGATCTACAAGTTTGCTAGAATAGATTGTTCCAGTGTTCTAGTTTTTTGGCCTTATACAAAACTCTGTAGGGAAGGGAAGTTGTGAAGGGTCTTCTGTATATTTTCTGAGGAAATAAAGTCTCTCTCTTCCACACTCAACTCCCAGCTACATCATCCTCTCTTTCTCCCCCTCCCTCACCCTTTCTCCCTCTCTCACTCTTTTTTTTTTTTTTTTAAGATTTCTTTATGTATTTATACAAGCACTGGGTACAGTCAGAAGCGCGGGAGGGTGAGAGAATTCACCAGAGCCAGAGCGGGGAGCAGAACAGGCAGACTGACGAAGTACACTGCTGAGGGGAGCAGCAGGCATGGCAGGAGAGGTCTGCGCACCTTGTGGGACCCTTGCCCGGCGGGCAGGGATCAAACAGGCGCTGCAGAGGCTGCGGGCAGCTTCGCAACCCAGCGCTCAACCGCTGCGCCACCAGGGGAGGCCCCTCTCACTCTTTTTTACAGAGTTTGTATGGAAACTTTTGTTTACAAGGATCAAACAAATTTGCTCAAGTAAAGGAAGTATTAGATGTTAAGAACAAGAAGAAGGCGTAGGTCATAGTGAAGGAGGAGTCTTGTGGACAACTGTAAATTTCTGGTGCTGGAAACAATAATACTGGGAAGAAAGTTACTTTAGGGCTTGTTCCAGTGATGCACTGACTATACATATTAACTGCTCATTCAAGTGATATATATTAAGTATCTAATCTTTTATTTTTTACTTTTTTTTGAAGATTTATTTATGTATATAAGAGCTGGGGTACAGGCCAGAGATATGGGTGGTGTGTGTGAGAGGATCCACCAGAGACAGAGTGGAGAACAGAACAGGCAGACTGGCTGAAATACACAGCTGAGGGGAGCAGCAGGTGAGACAAGAGAGGTCTGCTGTGCCATGTTGGTTTCTCCCTGACCGGCCGGGGATCGAACTCATGTCGCAGAGGCTGCAGATTGCTTCATAGTGTGGTGCTTAACCCCTTGCGCCACCAGGGAGGCCCTCATTTTATTTTTTTAAAGATTTATTTATTTATGCATACAAGAACTGGGGTACAGGGCAGAGTTGTGGGGATGAGAGGATTCACCAGAGACAGAGTGGGGAGCAAAACAGGTAGACTGACCGAAATACACTGCTGAGGGGAGCAGCAGGCGAGACAGGAAAGGTCTGCTGCACCATGTGGGTAGCTCCTGGCCAGCCAAGGATCGAACTCATGCTGCAGGGGCTGGATAGCTTCACAATGCCATGCTTAACCCCTTGCACCACCAGGGAGGCCACAAGTAACTAATCTTTTAAAAACCAGGTACTAGGGGAGAGAGCAATTGCTGGAGAGAGAGCAATAAACAAGACAGATATTGTCCTCTGCCTTAAAGGGTTAGGGTTAGATGCTTGAAGCTGTAATTACTGTGTTTTCTTCTTTCTGGTGAACAACTGGCAAGTTTGGACTGCATATCTCAGTTAATTAATAACTGGATTGCATGTGACTGGTATGGCTTCTCCTCCATCTCTGCTTCCTCATATCTCAGCCTACTCCTACTTTTAAGTGAAATCAGTCTCTAGATAGTGATTGGTTCCAATTTCAGAGCAAGAGAGGGAATCTGATTTACTCAATCTGATTTACTCTATTCTTGGTTGTGTCAGTCATAGGGTCAGGCCTACTTCAAGTCTAATCAAATGTGGCTGCATTGGGCCACACGGTCTAAAAGTGGATGGCCTGAAATTGGCCTTTTCTCTGGCACTCTGGATGGACAGACTTCCCCAAAAGGGGCTATGCACAGGTGGATTGAATGTACCATATCACTGGCTTCTGATTGTTCCGATTCAATTTTCAACTCTGACATTGCTTTTTGAGATTTGCAAATGATAACTATCATTAATGAACAATTCCCTGGAAATAGGTTTTTACTATTATTTCAGGATTCAATTATCTTGGGTATGTACTTATGAGACATTTATCTTAAATAGTTTGTACTATTATAATAAATTATCAAAAATTTTGTGACTTAGACAGCCAACATTTATTTCTCACAATCTGGAGGATGGATTCCAAGATCATGGTGCTTACAGATTCAATTCTTGGTGAGGACACCCCTCTCGATTTGTAGATGGCAACCTTATTTCTGTGTCTTCACATGGGGCGGGGGTCGGGAGAGGGAGAGAGAGAGAGAAAGAGAGAGAGAGAGACACTAGCTAGCTCTTTTGTTTCTCTTCTTACAAGGACACTAATCCCATTACAGATGTTTCACCTTCATGACTAATTATCTCCCAAAGGTCCCATCTCACCTACCATCACAAGGGGAATTAAGATTTCAACATAAGAACTTTAGGGGAGACACAAACACGTAGTTCTTAGTTATACTGACGTGGTTACTCTGATACATAAAGCTAATGAAGTGTGAGCAAGCATCTAATTTACATTTTTATTTCCACTCTGTAAAATCTATCAGAAGAGCAAGATATAACTACTATCAAGTACCAGCGAGCAACTTAAATTTTTTTGTGAGCTTTCATATACCAATAAAATACGTTTTGCTGTTTGCCTTATTTGATAAAACTTCAGCTGCTCATCACTTTTCCAGTGATTTCTTTTGACATCTTTTTTCTTATATAGGCATCATAATACAAATGATGACATAACTTTTCTTGCTTGAGCTATCAAGAATCTACTAAGACAAGTTTGGCAAAAAAAAAAAAAAGGATGCCTTCTTTGTTTTAATTCAGAGAATCTCTGAGGTTGGCAGAAATTGAATGACTTTGATCTTAAACTTCTGGAATCAGCCTATTCAGATTAAGAGTCTTCCCAAGATCATTCTACCTTGCTGTCATTAGTTTTGGGGTAACTTTGGAAAATGTAGCAACTTGTCAGTCACACACATCACTTGATACTTTACTGCATTAGAGTTAACAGCTCCTTTTTGCAAGAAGTTCAATCTGATTTTGGAAATAAACTATCGAAAGGTGCTTGATATTTACCTTTTAGGGTTCCTCAAGTAGTATTCTGTATTAATTGGTTTAAAATATAATTTCAACCTTAGATTCAAATACTACTTATTGACACCTATTTGTGTCAAGTCCCATAGTATATAGTATTTATATACTTCAGAGTACTTCATTCAACTGTCAAAAGTCTGTGAAGAAATGTTATTCACCAAATTTTACAAATGAAGACACTGAATCTCAAGGGTTTGAATGACTTGCTCATATAAACAAAAACATCTATTGTTTTCTGAAATTCAATGTTAATTCTTAATCCAAGATAAAGCTAGTCAGCCTAGTGTTTGTCTTCACAGCAAAAGTTAATAATTTTTAGTTTGGTCCTCTCCATGAGGATTCATTGGCACTAAGAGTGAGTGCAAAGAGTGTGTTCTTGTACATTGCATGTAGCTATAAAAGAACCACACTTCAGTGTATCCAAGACAGAGTCTCTCTCTTTCTCTCTCTATTTTCCTCTCTCTCTTTCTCAAGCTCCACTGGGTAATTAAGCACATACTTAATTAAAAATAAGTAATAAATGAAAAAGGAGGATAATGAGAATACAGAAGTTTTTGATGTGCATTTACCTCAGAAACTAAACTTGATTAAGATCATGTTTAATGTGTGTCATGGTTAGAATTCAAACTTAGTTATAATAAAGACCAAGATAACAATGACTTCAACAAGACAGGAGTTGCTTTCTCTCTCACTTAACAAGTGGAGCTGGAGACATCTGGGTGCTGTGGGGTAGTCCCAGGTCAGGCACCAGAAGGTTACAGTGTTCCCAGAACTCATTCTAGCCAGCACTTTAATATTGGTTAGTAGTCTATCATGATGGATATTTAAAAATATTGAGATGCAAGATGCCTTTTAAAATTTCATCACCCTTCACTGATAGCTGATCCCTTGAGAATAAGTAAACTTCACAAAGCCCAGTCAATTAAAGGGAGGTAGGGAACAGAAAAGCCTGGATAAAAAGACAATATGAGAGCAATTGTGTCAGACAAGCAAGAGGAATGTAAGTGCTATGGGATAAGACATTTTTTTTTTTTTTTAATAGAGGCATGTTTTATTTATTTATTTTATTTGTTTGTTTTGTTTTTACATGCACTGGGTACAGTCAGAAGCATGGGAGGGTGAGAAAATTCACCAGAGCCAGAGTGGGGAGCAGAGCAGGCAGAAGGACCGAAGTACACTGCTGAGGGGAGCAGCGGGCGGCAGGAGAGGTCTGCGCGCCATGTGGGACCCTCCTCCGGTGGCCGGGGAGCAGCCGGGGATCAAACCGGCGCCGCAGAGGCCGCGGGCAGCTTCGCAACCCAGCGCTCAACCGCTGCGCCACCGGGAGGCCCGGGATAAGACATTTTTTACAGGAA